ATATATATTTATATGTGTGTGTGCCAGAGGATGCCAGCTGCCTCTACACTGGGAAACATGCCACAGTGATGGAGGAAGAGGCAGAATCTGACCTCCTAACCCCCAAGTAACATCCCAGCATCAAAACAGACCTTTTCATTAAGTTTATCCCATGTATTATAAACTGGGTTTTGATTTTTAATCTGTCTAATTAATAACTTGCATTGACAGGATACAGTGGGCAGCTTTAAAACCCATATGGGTGTGATTGTGTTTATTTGAATTCACCAGATAATTCAATTATACCTAATTAAACAGATTACCAAACTTAAAGGAGCAAACCAGCTGACCCTAAAGATAAATAAATAAATTCAATCAAACACTTGTAAATGTAAACGACCAGTAGATTAGGTGTCTTGAAAACAGCAGGAGTTCATCTTTTCAGGGTCTGGGACTCTGTTTGAATGCAAATCTCATTCGGATTTAGGTAATCTTGTCAAGCTGGTGAGTCCAGTATTACCAGTGGGTGGGAGGGCAAGTCCAGTGGGGCCTAAATTTCTTTCTAAATTTCTAAATCAAAATTTCCTTTCTTTTTTAAATTAATGATGAAAATCCACTTACATGAGTGCAGAAAATCACCTGTTTCTATTTGATGTTTACATACTGATCCCCCTGGAAAACATTAAATCAGGATTACATTTATTATATGTCGAGGAAATATTTTGTTTCATAGTCTGTGTTTTGCATGTGTTTTCCCACTCTTCAGGTTAAAATACACCCTGCTTTAACAGAATAGTAAGGTCAATATTAGGCCTATATTTTCCCCTTTTTTGGGTTTGAAACTTCTTGAATGGGTGGTTTTATCTTGCCTGACATACTGCATTTAGTTTTTTCAGTAAAACCTAAAAAATGGGTGGTTTTATCTTGCCTGACATACTGCATTTAGTTTTTTCAATAAAACTTAAAAAAAGATGTCATACTAGCGAGTCACAAACTCAAAAGCACCACGATCTATTGTGTGTGTGCTTTAACACTTCTGGATCATTCATCATTATATTGTCTGTTGTTGTCGTTGTTTTCAGTGCCGAGTTAAAGTGCACAGTCCCTGGTGAGACATCATGCATGTTTCAGGCGGTTCATCCGGTGGCGTGCTGACGTTTTTTGCAGGAATGTGTGTGATTTGCGGGGTCTGCACCGGGGAGGGCGACGGGAAGTCAGGCCGCCTCCCATTCAGTATAAAACCTCCGTGTCCACCCCTTGTCTTCCTCTTTCTGTTACCTGGCTAGGGGCAGCAGCTTTGGCCGTGAAAACCCAGAAACACCGGTAAGTTCAGCTTTGATTCATAAGGTAGCGAAAGGGCAGGATACAGGCCTTTAACTTTTCGTGATGCTTGATGAGCTTCAGCTGTAAATTAAATTTTTTTTCTTCGAGTATTAGAATTTCTTTTATAAGACAAAACTTTGCCATTTCAGTTATGTAACTTCACACAAACCTGTGGATTTCTTATAAAGTAATTAGCGTAAAACGTGAAGGAAAACATTCACTTGTCGTTTGCTAACGTGAATTTATTGTCAGCATTTTTGTGTGTTTTAGCAAGACTCTTAACTTAAACAAAAGCGGTAACGAGGGAGTAGAGAATGTAAGGGGGGTAAGGAACAAAGGGGGCTGCTAAAGCTGTAATCAGAGGATGCTGGGATGGCATTTCTTCTCTCTTATCCATGAAACAACTGTACAGATTATACACCGACAGGTGTTGGGAGTCTGGACAAAATAGCTTCTGAATATATATGGCAGTCTTTGTAACTTTATACGACGTGGCCCATGGAGTAACACGTGTCTCGCCTGGCCTGTAGCCGAGTGAGGCCTAGTAGCCACCGCCTGTTAGCTCAAATGTCGTAGCCTTGTCGTTCAGTAACTATTAAATGTTGTTTTGCTTTAAGTTGATTCAACATGTGATATAGATGTTACCACTTTAAGTTACCTTTCATGAACTATTATCAAAATGTGTTCAAATTTAGCCGGTACCGAAGTGTCATGGTTCAATTAATGTTAGCGTCACATTAGCGCTCTGTAGTTAAACGTTAACGAACGTTGGGCTCATAAGTACGGTGCGGTTTTTAAAAATGAGCGCTGACGGTTATATATATATATATATTTTTTTTTCCCTCATTCGTGACAGAAACTACAACAATGGGAAAGGAGAAGATCCACATCAACATCGTGGTCATTGGCCATGTCGACTCCGGCAAGTCCACCTCCACCGGTCATCTGATCTACAAGTGCGGAGGAATCGACAAGAGAACCATCGAGAAGTTCGAGAAGGAAGCCGCCGAGGTGAGCATTATATTTTCTTATCTTTATAACCGTTGGCGTCAAGAACCAAGATGGCGGCGTCAGCGTGCCTTCCCTGAGCCCTACTGCCCGGCACGAGAATGTGGCAACTGTGTGCGCGCATTCGGGGTGGGGCTTAACGCGAGCGGATAGTGACTGTGCACTAATTTCACTAGAGGCCTCAAGCTGTCCAATACGTATAATACACTATCCTACTGCTGAAATGTTTAAAATCAAAAAGCTAAAGGAATCTTTTTTCAGGGGGGGGATAACTGTCAGTACAGTCAAAAGGAGCCTGAAAGCTGGCTCAATTGTGTTGGCTATTAACTTGATGACCATTTGTTTTAATCTTAATTAAACGGGTTTATTAGTTGTAACAGCGCATGGGTATCTACTATGCATCTTCAATCAAATCCCTGATGCCTCTATCAGCATATTAATGTAAAAATGTCTATTTCCTATTTTTCCATAGATGGGCAAGGGCTCCTTCAAGTACGCCTGGGTGCTGGACAAACTGAAGGCAGAGCGTGAGCGTGGTATCACCATTGACATTGCTCTGTGGAAGTTTGAGACCGCAAAGTACTACGTGACCATCATTGATGCCCCTGGACACAGGGACTTCATCAAGAACATGATCACTGGTACCTCTCAGGTATAGGAACACCTTTAATTCTGCTCTCTACTGACTCTTCGCCTTATACTTTATTATAAAACTCATGCAAGTTTCTATAAAATTCTCCCTTTTTAGGCCGACTGCGCTGTGCTGATTGTTGCTGCTGGTGTTGGTGAGTTCGAGGCTGGTATTTCCAAGAACGGCCAGACCCGTGAGCACGCCCTGCTGGCCTTCACCCTCGGTGTGAAGCAGCTCATCGTTGGCGTCAACAAGATGGACTCTACCGAGCCCCCTTACAGCCAGAAGCGTTTCGAGGAGATCACCAAGGAAGTGAGCACCTACATCAAGAAGATCGGCTACAACCCCGCCACTGTTGCCTTTGTCCCCATCTCTGGGTGGCACGGAGACAACATGCTGGAGACCAGTGACAAGGTGAGGACACTTTTAAACTTTCATTAATCCGATTGTTGAACATGAACCAATTTCCGATGGAGAACATGGACTGAAATCTGACTCCGTCTCTAGATGAGCTGGTTCAAGGGATGGAAGATTGAGCGCAAGGAGGGTAATGCTAACGGAACCACCCTGCTGGAGGCTCTTGATGCCATCCTGCCACCTGCCCGCCCCACCGACAAGCCCCTCCGCCTGCCCCTGCAGGATGTCTACAAAATCGGCGGTAAGAATTGAGTTATTGGTAAAACACTGAATACATTGGAAATGGTCAACACTACTTGTTCCTTGTACTTAAACTGATATTTTTCTCAGGTATTGGAACTGTACCCGTCGGCCGTGTGGAGACTGGTGTCCTGAAGCCCGGTATGGTCGTCACCTTCGCTCCCCCCTGCCTGACCACTGAGGTGAAGTCTGTGGAGATGCACCACGAGTCTCTGCCTGAGGCTGTCCCTGGTGACAACGTTGGCTTCAACATCAAGAACGTGTCCGTCAAGGAAATCCGTCGTGGATACGTGGCTGGCGACAGCAAGAACGACCCACCCAAGGGAGCTGACAACTTCAACGCCCAGGTTTGTATTGTGAATGTAACTCATTATGAAAGACTGGCTTCCAGTTTTCTGGGTAAAGTCTTAATCGAATGGAGTTCTAACTTAAAATGTATCCACAGGTCATCATCCTGAACCACCCCGGCCAGATCAACGCAGGTTACGCACCTGTGCTGGATTGCCACACAGCTCACATTGCCTGCAAGTTCAAGGAGCTCATCGAGAAGATCGACCGTCGTTCTGGCAAGAAGCTTGAGGACCAACCCAAATTTGTCAAGTCTGGAGACGCCGCCATTGTCAACCTGGTTCCACAGAAGCCCATGGTTGTGGAGCCATTCTCCAGCTACCCTCCCCTCGGTATGTGTTATACTTGCAGCCTGAGACTACAGTAAACTTAAATATGCATTGACTCAATAAAATGAGAATATCCAATTAAGTGCGCATGCAGTTACTAACCACTCGCCCCTCTTCTCCAGGTCGTTTTGCCGTGCGTGACATGAGGCAGACAGTGGCTGTCGGCGTCATCAAGGCTGTTGAGACCAAGGAAGTATCCGGAAAGACAACCAAGGCTGCAGAGAAGGCCCAGAAGAAGAAATGAATGGTCGTGCAGGACGTCCAGCAACAAGATGTGTGCCGGCAGCAGCGGGCCACCCCTACCCCCCACCCTGGATCATCTTCTCTGTGGCAGAGCTCTCTATTAAAGGACTGGCTTATGCTGATTAAAACCCATCGCAAAAGTTTTCGCAGGAAAAAAGAACTACGTGGCATTGTCACTTACCTGAATGACATGACGGTGCCTCTTCTCAGTTAAGTTTAAGTTGAAATGGTTTAAAACTGTATCTTGATGTTTAATGCCACAAATTTAATTGGAAAGAAAGCTGCTGGTAACTAATAAAATAAATGTCTTTGAAAAAATTGAAACTGGCTTGTCTTCATCCTTTTACTGTTGCAGTTGGTGCAGATTTTGCCTGTCACAGGCGAGCCTCTGTGTTGCAGCTGTTTTTGACCATCCTATCTGTGTTGGGTGATGCACTTGTCATCCAATCGCCTCGGTAGGAGTTATGCCAACCCAGCCAATGGCACCCCTTATTTTAGTCTGACAGCAGCAAGAGCACGCGCAGCCCTCCCTCCTCCTCTGGTTCAGTATAAAAACTCTGAACAGATCACACTTCTGTCCTTTTTTCCCCCCTCCGCTCTAAATCTGGGGTCTTAGTTGCTGGGCAAAGGTAAGTGAATGTCATCTCCTGTTTTTTTTTAAAATCAAAATCTTAAAGGTGAAATCTTTAAAAAAAAAAATGCATGTTCATGCACAGGAGAAGGGGCTGCATTCAAGGCAGGGGATTTTAAAAAAGGCTCTGTCAGGATACAGAAGACTGCTGTGAAACTAGATAAAATCAGATGCCTTGTATTTAAAAATGTGTTCCCCTTTTTTTTACAGAAAAGGATAAACATGCTAACTCACCTTGTATTTCTATCCAACCCTGTACAGCCATGTGGTCGTCTATTCGGCTTTTGTCTTAATGAGCTTTGATCCACTGGCTTTAACACAACACTGAGTGGGAGCTATTACATTAACTTGAACAATAAATGAGGTGCTAGATTGTTCTTTCTGCCAGTCATGGTGGTCATTTCTACCGTCGTGAACGCGCACCCTTACACCCAAATGCTGGCTGACGTCGTGAGCGCGCTTGCATCAGTTGGTAACATGGCGGCTCTGCGCTCCCGGCGCAACATGGAGGCCGGACAGCCGGTACCGAGCACATGGCGCGTGACTCACTCAGCAGTATTGCCTCTCCAGTGGCGTGCACGAGCATCGAAAAGAGCTTTTCCAATAATGCCAGACATCAAACTAACTAAAACTAACGTTACACCACAGCTGTATTTTACACAGCTGCCAGTCGCGCTTTAACACTTAACGTTCTGTTAACTGTCGCAGTCGTGACGAGGTTGAGAATTACAAAATGTTAATTTACAGGTTAAAACCCTTCTTCTATGTAAGCTGGCTTTCGATTAAATTTGTGTCAAGAGTGTCGTCTGGTGGTCCCTATTGAGCATACTCTATTTAAAAGAGTAACGTTGATGTGAGCCCGACGTATTAAGTCAACATGACCAATGTTAACGTCACTCCCTTTGGTTTATAATTTGATCAGCTAATTTAGCTATCGTTTAGGTAACATTTAAGTCATGACATCGATTGATGTCCCTCTGCGCTCAATCTGTTTGGAGACAAATTTAAGCCTGAGCTATTTAAACATAATTATTACCCATGTTTATAACCAGTAAATCGAAATGGGAAAGGAGAAGATCCACATCAACATCGTGGTCATTGGCCATGTCGACTCCGGCAAGTCCACCACGACCGGCCACCTGATCTACAAGTGCGGAGGAATCGACAAGAGAACCATCGAGAAGTTTGAGAAGGAAGCAGCTGAGGTTGGTCATGGAGGCACCTGAGGAATTCAGTTTTTCATATAAACACACACCACAGGGGGGACACATGTATGAGACCTTGAAGGCAGTGTCATCTCCGGGAAACGGGTGTGGTGGATATTAATTACTTGGTTAAAACTGCCACCTACTGTTGAAAGATGTGTACTGTTCTTTTTAATGCAGACATTTTAGGTAACTAAACATGAAAGTTCACTGTTTCAAGACTTATAGCTACAAAAATAGTGGAATCTGCTTAAAATACATAATACATACAATATACAATAATTGCTTATTATAGACAGTGTTCACATACTTATTTAGCAATTATGAATATAGACACTCATGTTACTAAGGCAAACAATACAAAACATTGATTGGTTTAAATATGTTTTAAATCATTTGTTTGACACAAAATGGAAAAATGAGCCTGATGCTTTTGAAGTAACTACAAAGCAAACATCACAGTAATAAATATTAGACCTACAAAACCAATATATTTTAACACTATAGTAAAGTGAACTGAAAGCAGCTTCAAAAAAGTATAATACCATTAAATAAAAAGCTGTGAATTAAATGCTCTGTCAAATTCTTGAGTGTATTTACTCATTCTGTGATTAGATATTTCATGATCTAAAGTAGGAAACTATTCTAAATTTACATTTCATTCAGACAAAGACCCTTTTTTTTTACACACATGCATTTAGCAATTTGGTATATTTTGTTAATTGGAATAAAAGGGGCTGAACTTGTTTAACTTCCCCAACCTAAGGTATCTAAAATAAAAATATTGATGTGGTAGCAATACTGAAATTCAGGCTAAAGGATTTTTTTTTTTTATTCGCACTGAGCTGTGATTATGAAACCTGATAAATGTGTTAACTACTCCATGTAACGTGATGTAGCCTAACTGTGGTATGTAGAGTGAGCGCCTATTTAGAAACTGATAGATGGGATCATAGAGGACACGGTGGTGGGTGACACTTGGTATTTTTGGGGTTAACAAGCTGATAGGTCTCATCGGTTTCATTAAAATTGGTCCTATAACGTATCCCAAATCCAGCTTTAATTACGAGGACACTCGTAGAGGAAGTTTGCTGTTACAATAAAGAGGCATGATTTTGTTTTATTTTAAAAGTCTCCTCAGTTAAACCTTTATGGCTGATTCATAGCTTTTCTCCCATTGTATTTCCTGCTCTGATTGTGTTGTCTTGACCACAACAGATGGGCAAGGGCTCCTTCAAGTACGCCTGGGTGCTGGACAAACTGAAGGCAGAGCGTGAGCGTGGTATCACCATTGACATTGCTCTGTGGAAGTTTGAGACCGCAAAGTACTACGTGACCATCATTGATGCCCCTGGACACAGGGACTTCATCAAGAACATGATCACTGGTACCTCTCAGGTATAGGAACACCTTTAATTCTGCTCTCTACTGACTCTTCGCCTTATACTTTATTATAAAACTCATGCAAGTTTCTATAAAATTCTCCCTGTTTAGGCCGACTGCGCTGTGCTGATTGTTGCTGCTGGTGTTGGTGAGTTCGAGGCTGGTATTTCCAAGAACGGCCAGACCCGTGAGCACGCCCTGTTGGCCTACACCCTTGGTGTGAAGCAGCTGATCGTTGGCGTCAACAAGATGGACTCTACCGAGCCCCCTTACAGCCAGAAGCGTTTCGAGGAGATCACCAAGGAAGTGAGCACCTACATCAAGAAGATCGGCTACAACCCCGCCACTGTTGCCTTTGTCCCCATCTCTGGGTGGCACGGAGACAACATGCTGGAGGCCAGTGACAAGGTGAGAGACTTATTACATGCTAAGCTCAAGTCGACAATAGTAGTTGTTGTACAGGCGTATTGGTAGGTGGACACCTCTGGATCATACATCTGTGACTCAGGAATATATTATTTCTGATTCTAACTTAATATTTACATAATCCTAGTTATTTTCATTCTCTTAACCCATTACTTTTCCCGTGTTTGTCTCTGTGTTTCTGTATTCTCCATTTCAGATGAGCTGGTTCAAGGGTTGGAAGATCGAGCGTAAGGAGGGCGGTGCCACTGGCACCACCCTGCTGGAGGCTCTGGACTCCATCCTGCCCCCCAGTCGCCCCACTGACAAGCCCCTCCGTCTGCCCTTGCAGGATGTCTACAAGATTGGAGGTAAGGACTGTCAGATGATGTCACCACATAACACGTCAGCTTGAGGAAAAGAAAGTGATGTAATGTCAGTGGAAATGAGCACTCCTTCCTACAAACTGCACCTACGTCACTTTTATTCAGCGGCTCTGTATATATATTCACATCATACTAAATACTACACAATGGTTATGGTTTTTGTATTTATTTGAATGGCCAGGATAATTTGTATTTAATAGTTATCAACAGTTTTACACAAATTTGTCAAAGCAGCCGTCAAGCATGGCAACTGCAAGATGATGATGAGGGAGAGAGATGCGTTCATGTGCAGAGTAGTCAACACGCGTTAGACCCGTTCATATGAGACAGCCGTCACTGTTAGCAGAGACTTCAGTCTGCAATGTAGCAGTACTGGGCTAGATGATGAAAGAAAGTTTTTGTTTTGTGTCTCCACTTCTGTCCATATGCATGCTGACACTCTGTTGCTCGTCCATGTGCGTTCTCCCTCTCTCCCTCCCCCTCTCTCTCTCTCTCTCTGAGGGAGTACGTGAAACATCATTCAGTTAATACTCTGCCAAGCTTCCGTAATTTACAGCAACCTCTCATTAATAGACCTATTTTATAATCAAGAGCTATCACTAAAACATACATACATTATATTGTACAGTGTCACTGTACAGTGACAGTAGTTGCAGCTAACTTGAATACTTCAGATGTGGCTGACTGGACTGAAATCTCTGATGGTCTGTCTGACAAGATGAACCGTGCCCTGACTACTTTGGTTACTTCAATTCACTTGAAAAACTAAACTAAGCTAAATCCCTTCACTATGTTCTCAAGAAATAGAAAAGTTCCAACCTGCTGCAGGCTACATCACTTTGCAGGAAGTATTATAGACTATATGTATTGATAATTAAGGGATAAAGGAAACAGTAAAACCTCCACCCTGCAACAAATACTGATGTTTTTATTAGGCCTGATTTTAGTGGGTGCAGTAGCCTCCTCAGCACCACTTACTTCCCGCTTCCATGCTTTTATGTGAAGGTCAAAATGGCAATCTTACTAGATAGGAACATTTACTTGTCACTTCCAAAGTGTCTGCAGTAGCACAACATAGAATAAAAAACACACAGAGAAATGAACTGCAAGCACTTTTTTTGCCTGATGAAGGTCACCGGGGAAAAAATTCTTCACTTAATTATCATCTCCCATACAAACTAAGCAAACCAAGAAACAGATTTTTAAGGAAATCATTCACAAATCTGCAAATAGATATTCTCACACTGCGAGGAAAAAGAGGTTAAAAAACCTATTTTGCCCGACTTAACGTCTTGTCTACGCGTGCTTGTGCATTGTCGGACATTGTGTAACATGCAGCAGTTCTCTATATAGTGACATTTTATTAGTAGTCTTACTGTAAGATGCAGGGTGAGCCTCCCTCTTGTGCACGATGATCATATATTAAGGCTTCAAGGGCAAAGTAAGCTTTTAAAACATCGCTAGACAGGAAGCACTCCTCTTCCTTCATACACTGATCTGCCTTAACATTACGACCACTGACAGGGGAAGTGAATAACACTCTTTATCTCATGCCTGTCAGTGGGTGGGATATATTAGGCAAGTTAAAATTGTGTCCTCATAGTTAATATGTTAAGCAGAAAAAATGGGCAACTTTGAAAAAAGCCTGATTGTGAAGAGTTTGCAGTGGTCAGTATCTATTAAAAGTGGTCCAAAAAAGGAAAACTGATTAATTTACGACAGGCTTATTGATGCATGTGGGAAGCGAAGGCTGGCCTGTGTGGTCCGCTCCCACAAACAAGTTGATGCTGGTTCTGATAGAAAGGTGTCAGAGCACACAGTGCGTAAACAGTGGAGTGGCAGCTGGTCATAATGGCTGTTCGGTGTATCATTTTATGTCTTAAGACTTTCCAGCTCACTGCCAATCTCCTGTGGTGTCACGGCTCCAACTTGTGTACCAAAGTTGCCAAATATCATGCAAGCATTGAGGCTTCATAACTGTGTGAAGCTGTACATTTATGTATAGACATTAAAATACACTTATGCCCGAATGACATTACTTTAATAGACAGATGAAGCCTCCAAAATCACTTAAGTCGTTAAAACAAATCACGAGGCTGGCAACCATCCCTTTTACTTTCGAGTGTGTACAAAATAAGATGCTAAATAAAGCTAAACCTGAACCACAGCTACAAAATGTCAAAACCAAAAAAAGAGGCACAGTGTCGAGTTGCTCACCTGAATTCCTGAAAGTTGCACAGACAACAGTGACATCAGCTTATAGAAATTGAAGACTCTTGATCGATAGCTACTAAAGGACAAATTCTGGGAGTGGATCCAGACAGCTTTTCGGCTAGTTCAGACAGGCCAATCACAGAAGTGGAACCCGAATATACTGGATCAGTTTACACTTAAACTACACCTGTACCTACATCTGATATACATTAATACAA